GTATTACTTTTAGAAACCTCAAAGGGATCGGAAAAGGACTCGACTTAATTGTGTTATGCTGATTAACCCTAACTCCCTAAGGTGTTTAAAACTCATACTGAGACCGGGGCATTTAGCCCAATTATAGAGTTAATGAAAAGTCATGTACACATTCAATGAGACCACAGACAATAAAGAGCGTCGATAAAAGACAAACAGACGGACTGATTGATGGAAGCGAAATAGGGTATTGGTCGAAAGATGCACGGGTGTGGGAGAGGCATACGTATGATTTAAGACACGTGAAAAAGGAAGGGACCAGAACCACCAGAACACTGAATCATGCAGACTAGAAAAAAAAGATAAAGGACGAAAACGGAACTTTAGAACACGCACAAACAGTAAAGAGAAAAAGGGAAAGGTGTCAAGTCAGGAAAACCTTTCTTTTCTAACCTGTGGAGGTATTACATAATCTGCAAGATCCCAAATTCGATTGTAGGGCGTTGGGTCGTCTACTTGAAGGTCCCAGGCATCCGTGATGTTTGTATAAGCCACACCTTTCAACTTCGCTGTCGCCGACCCTTCCACGTTGTCTCGCTTTTGATAGTCTTTGTTGATAATTAAAACATATCTGGAAATCAACCCAGAGAAGAAGACAGACATTTCTAAAGAGGCAAACTTGGCAAAGTTACCGATGACGTACGAGTGTGGGCGATCAGTTTGACAACTGGTCAGCTACTCTCATCAGGGAAAGAACGTGCAAACATGTTCAGAAGTTTCCAATTAACTTGGGGCAGATTAACTATTGTGTTCATATTTCAACATGTATTACTCGTCCCGTCTCATCAATCTGTCAAATCTTGCAGACTGTGTTGCATCCTAGGTCTCTACAAGTGAACAATGGCACTCACAGGCGTGTGGTGCTTTGAATTCCTTCGGATTATCGAAGTGACCGGCTGCAACATTAATAATGAAACCAATTAATGCAGTTTGTGAATTATTTCTATTGAGGCCTGCACTTTCTTCGTCTTGTATACGCAAAGTACAGATGTTTTCTTTATGCTTAAATTATTCATCGTCTGACGATACTGAAGATTCTTGTTGCCATGGTCCCTCTGAGTTCACTGCTTTTTTTTTACCTTTTTGTACTAAAACCGTGGATTTCTGAAAAGTGTAAATGACATTATATAGCTAAGAAATCTGAAGATTATTTTTTATGGAAAGAGGAAAATTTAGTTTTCCAAAGGACAAACCCAAATGGAAAGAACCCAGAACAAATCTGAAGAAATTGTTTACTTTAAAGATGAATAAAATAAAAGTTCTGGTGAAATGTGTAACAATTAGGAGGAAAACACAGAAAAAGCGCAACTTCACCAACCTTGCACGATACATGCACGTATTAAAAACCAGTTGTAATGTACTCACAATTGTACAAAAAAGCAGATGGCACTTATTTGCTACCGTAATTCATCTGCCAACGAGAAGGAGGGTATGTCAGTGTTATTTGCGAAAAGACGGCGGAATTATTACTGGCGCCAAGTGGCAACATTGCTCCCGACCGGCCACAGTCGTGTGCATACTCCGAATTAATACTTGCACGCTCTCACAAAACATTCGGCCATTTGCCGGGCCCAAGCAAAAAAAGAAATCAAATTCGTTTTGTAAGAGGTTGTACTTTTCAGTTTCTGTCCCCCTGCAAAGATTTTACTTAATCCAGTTTTGATCCAGATAAGTTGGGTACTTAAAGACCCAGAACTTGCTACCGAATACCGCGGATGAAATATTGATGGAGCCAGGAAGACAGTCGGTGCATCCATAATTCACCGTCTTTCACAGCAGTTTTGCTCGCAGCTGCGTCGCCACATAATGGATGTTACAATAATGTAGCGAGTGACGGCGGCATATTGACAAAAGAGGGCATATGGCGCTGGACGGCGATGAATTCACAAGATCTGAGAAGCACAAGATCAGCACCTGAAGCTCTCTCCAAGGTGAAAGAACTCTGGAGGCAGTGTCAGGGGCGGGGACGACACCTTGGATGCAGGGGTCCAGACAGCAGACCCGGCTTGGCCCTTGCTTCAATCTTCGAAATAATTCACTACATTTCATGTCTGCTTAATTCAAAGACATACTGGGTTTCCGTTCCTATAGATAGGAACCTATTTCAGGGAAACTTTTGACAGTTTGGTAACCACAATTCACCGTTCTGCTGAAAGTTGTATGTTGTAGTACATAATTTATTCTGTTGTAGTTGAGACACTTTGCTAACAATACTTGTGATCACCTGCGTGGCCCGGAAATAATTCTTGCTTGGAGTGGCGGCTGCCAAGAATAGCATTGCTTTGGAAATATCCTGGTTTTGGACAAACACCACAAGTCTGGTCTGATAGAGCCCCAATATTCATGCCCCTTCTTCCCACTGTGTGCACCTCACTTGTCTGCCATGAAATATTGGTTGGGGCAGTGTTAGTTTGTTTAAACCAAACCCCAACATTGACCCAAATTTTAACTTACGCCCTGTTTAGAAAGGTCATTCCGCCCTGGATAAAAGGAGCTTTTTATTACAAATATCGATCGCCGTAAGGCGGAACCTTTGAAAATCTTTTTTTTCCCTTATTGTATTGTATAGGTAGACCAATAACGGTTTATTCTCTCTCGCAATCATCAAAGACATCAACTAAATTCGTCAGAAATAAGCCTCTTTCCAACCTGGACCTCTAATAAGAAGCAAACACCCGTCACCCACCACCTTCTTGGTGCTTGTTCCCGATAAACTCAGCTCGCGTCGACCGCCAAAAAGGCCCCTGTTTACCGGGTGGATTCGGTTGCCATTTAAAAACAACATCGGAGACCCCCACAAAAGCGCCCTGACATCTGACGAAATCCCCTACAGAGGCATGGGGTCCGACATTTTAATTTGCTAAATTGAAAAGCGCGCTCGTTGCAATCCCAACGCACACCCGCTACTTCGAGACATTCTAACACAGAGCGGCACGGCCCGCCGAGGGAGTAGGGAATAGATTTGTGCCGTGTTTGTACAAAATCAAGACGGGTGAAACGAAGCGATCGACGGTATTAAAGTGGCAGTGCCGCGGGGTTAATTTTCAAGTGTCCATACGCAAGCAGTCATCTTTGTGCGTAGATGGGCGAGAAATGTGTATTTAAAGATGGACTGTCAACAGCCAAGTAGTTTCATGCCTTTGTTCCGTTTAATTAATGCGCTACGCGCTAAAATAAACGGAGCATATATAAAGTTATATATAGCCACATATATTTTTTCAAAAGCCTTGGAATAATAAATATGAAATTTTTAGGATTAAAAATAAGTGGACGGCATTTGCAAGTGCTCTTATATAGTGCTTTACTGCGCAGAACACCAAATAAAAACACCAAGGCTTTATTAGATAGAGACAAAACGTTTAAGGGCAAACTCCATCGATCCCTAATTCATGAGAAAACCTCGATGTAGCATGCGTGAACAAGGCACAGATGCAGCCGAACTAAGTCAGACGTAATCGACCGCGCATAACGCATTATTTATTGCCCGGACTGCAACACACATTCGTTATTCGCCGACCTACCTTTAACACATGTTACATTAAGTGAACCAAACCAATACCTGTTCAAACAGGACACGTCCCATCACGGTATCTATATGTGAAGTCTGCTTTATTGTTAAGGAGCAGGGCGTATCAAGGTGTTGAGTCTGGGGGGGGAGGAAGGAGGAAATGAAGATCTTTTCCTGCAACGGTTGTCCAAATTTGTGTCATTCGTAATAAAATCATCCCCTCTCCAATGATTAAGGTGCTACTATACCGCTTCTAAGAGTGCATGTGTGACCCTTTCATCAGAAAGACAACATGTCGCTGGGGGGAAAGTTTGCCCCCCTCAGCTGGGTTCGCTGCTTTTTTGGGAGTGTTTAACCTCTCGTCAGTGTTCTTCAGAAAACTTTGGCATTTAGTCTTTAAACTATTCGAACTGTTGTATAAACTTGTGCAAAAATAGTTTGAGTGCTTGTTTTAATTCCATCCAGGGGGCGTTGCTTAACTTAATAGGCCTAGTTATACCTTTGTGACACAAAGGCCAATTGCGATGGTTTTGCCCTTAGCAATACAAAACCGAGGTATAATAAACGGATTTTCCATACCGTCATTTCTGATTACTAACAACCCCAATCGTTATTGCTATAACATACGGTCCGTGTGAAGGAAAGCTCAAAATCAAAAGTGTATATTTGCGCGAGGGCATAATTTCTAACACCGGATGGCCATCAAAAGCTAATCACGTGAGATTTGTCAGCAGAGTACAGCCTTAGTAATCTAAGACGTATCTCAGAGATCGGATACACGGTGTCATCAGGGAGAGAGGAACAAAATTCCCTTTACTGAGCACCGGACTGATGATTCTGTAGCCGGCGGCTTGTTTTCTTTTTTCCTGCATATAAAAGTCCAAAGCTACACTCGGGGAGTTGGCACATGAAAAGAATCATCAGGCTCTTTCCCCGATGAGGTGACCCCGGGCAAGGCAAGGCAAGAGCTCAGGTGACGGAATGGTAAACAATCAACTCGTCTGTGGCGTGCAGGCCACATAGCGTAGTAATTTGGTATTCCGTATTCAAGCTCTATAAAAGGGCGGTCACTTGCGTACATTATTTGGTCGCTTTATGGTATTACAAGCTGATCGATTACATTAGCCTGCAGCCAGAATGGAGCATTGAGGTTTCCCTGGATAAGATCTGAACAGGTCACGTCCTGATGGCTAGGCGATCGAGGCAAGACAATTCCTTCCAAGCCGTGGCCTGTAGGCAGGGTGAAGGTATTCAAACGTAAGCGAAGACCACAACGCAACTTGCAATTGGTGTGGGGCAACGCCACAAAAACGCGCAGCCGCTAATTAAATACATTCAATTTACGTGACGCGTCTCGTGTCACATCTACCAATGTACCTACCAGACTAATAATCTTAGTCCTTAGGGGAACTTTACATGGAGATGGAGATCAATGCTTGCGCCTTGACCCCAGACAATTCAAAGCTGACACAAAAGAATCACTTTGACCGAAGTATTGACCGTGCTATTTCGCTATCTTGGTGAGACAAACGTCTCGCATTTGCCATCTTTAAAATTTCATTTCAAGTTTAATTTTTAGTTTTAACATTTCTGACAGTAATGACAGAAAGTCCCACTCAAAATTTCAATCCACCAAGTAAACTGCACAATCCTAGACAACACACTTTAAAGGAACAATTCTGATTGCCCGTTGAACCCAAATCTCATCTCACGTAGATAGCAGGCATCGCAGCAGGTGATATTGGGCTTATTCACTAATATAATAAAACAACAAAAATGAGTGCGTCAATACCATTTTAAACAATGTGCACCATGTAATGTTTCATCATCGTTTCCGCTTGTCCGCAAAACTGAGACATTAAAAAAATCACCGGCTTGACCCCCACTGGAAAAATTCCTGGATCCACCCCTGAAATACTAAATTTAAATATCACCTTCTCGAATTCCTACGGAAGCAAGCGATAGATCTCTGTTAAAAAGGTATTTTTGTCACCTAAGCACAAAGTAAGTCGAGATCAAAATGCCAGAAGGGTTGGCAAGCTTTAGCTGTTAATTTCACAATC